CTTGGTGTCGTCTGCAAATTTAACCAGTTTACTGTATGTATTGGTGTCAATATCATTAATGTAAATTAGGAACAATAGTGGTCCTAAAATTGAACCCTGCGGTACCCCCACTATGAACGCAGGCCCACTGTGACATTGTTCCTCTAATAACTATTCGCTGCTTCCTGTCAGTTAACCAGCTTTCGATCCAAGCTGCTACAGTTCCTAAAATCCCTGCAGCTTTGAGCTTTAGCAAGAGCCGTTTGTGGGGGACAACATCAAAGGCCTTCTGGAAATCTAAGTAGATCACATCGTAGGCCTTTTTGTGATCAATTTTACTTGTAGTTTACTCAAAGAACTCAAGTAGATTCGTTAAACAGGATCAACCTCTCCTAAATCCATGTTGGCTATCCCTCAGAATGTTATTTGCAATATCAATGGAAGAATGGCACCCTAGTCCAAAGAATCCTATTTTACATCATGTGGATGGCTGGGTACATGTACATTCTTTACCTGGGGAAGAGATGGCACCAAAATGCACCAGCAGTTTGATGCTTGGGCAATGTTCTGCTTGAAAACCCAAGGTCTGGACATTCATGTGAATGTACTGTAAATTGTACTCAATGTTAATTGTAGTCAGTGTTTATTGAATACATGCGATTTTGGAACCAGTCCACCCTCTCCATGAACACATATCTTGTATTTGATGAAACTTCTTCACTTTCCAGACACATTGTATGTATACAAGTCTGGCAATAATTTTGAGACAAATTGCACCATTATTGAAGCAATGTCACTTACCGATGGCACATGAAAGGACAGCCTCAGACACAGATCTGGGCCGGTATGCATAAAACTTCTCAGAGTAAAATTTCACTCTTAAATTCGTTACAATTCTAAGAGTGACGTGATTTTGCTCCTACTCCCAGACTTTAGAATAAGTGGCATGCATAAACATTCTTAAGTGTTAAGACTTGGTCTTTACCAATTATTTAAGAGAGCTGGAGAGGACTCCTGAGCCAGTTAGGTGGGTAGAGTTTGAAGGCATGTGGAGCTTGGGGGTGTGGGAGGAGTTGTGATTAGATGGGGGTGGCCAGACCATCTGGGAATATGTTGCCATCGTTCAGTTTGATACGTGTTGCCTATCGAGATGACATTGTATCTCCTTATGACAGTGCCCTCTTTCAGCAGCATAATGTACTGTACATGAATTGTTCAGGAATGGTTTGAGGAATATGATGAAGAACTCAAGGTGTTTTTGTGGCCTCCAAATTCCCCAGATTTCACCCCAATCTAGTACTGTATCTATGGGATGTGCTGGAACTCTGATCCGCAACAGTTCACCTTGTAATTTACAGGACTAAAGGATCTAACATCTTAGTGCCAAATACCACAGGACACCTTCAGAGGTCTTGTGGAATCTGTGCCTTGGCGAGTTTGAGCTGTTTTAATTTGGCAGCACGCAGAAGACTAAAAGCATATTAGGCAAGGGGTCATAATGTTTTGGCTGAATGGTGTAGTAATAAAGTATAGTAACAGACTGCCCGGAACATAGGTATTATGTACGTAGTCTTCATTTTTATTGGTAACTTTTGTACTACTCGTTTATTCAGTGAAATACACACCACCCATGTTTACTAGCTAATTCCAAGATAACAAAAAACAGTATTTATTGGAGCTTACTCATATTTGTCCCAGCACTTATGAAGGTTTGGCTCTCTCCCACAGGATAACCCCACCGTGGTGGTAGAGGACCTGCGGCTATGTACTGTTAAGTACTGTGAAGACGTTGAGAGACGCTTCTGTTTCGAGGTGGTGTCCCCGACCAAGTGAGTGGCATCCGCAATACGTGGGACCAGGGAAGTGGCCAGTCTCAGTCCCGTCTCTGTCCTCATCTGTACTTGGGACTGGGGTTTGAATTAAATGTGAGCGGTAGCCAGTCTCAGTTATCTTTCTGTCCTGATCTATATATGGGACCAGGATTTGTGTGAAATGTGAGCAGTTGCCGGTCTTAGTCCTGTCTCTATCCTGATCTATACATGCGTCCGGGGTTTGAGTGAAATGTGAGCAGTTGCTGCTGTCATAGATACCTCAGGTTGGACTAACAGAAATAATTTGCTAGTTGCAAGTAATTAGTCAAGATATTATTTGTTATACATTGATGACCATTAAAGTTTGTTTTAAATTATTTATATCATTGTGCAAAAAATCTTAGCAGGGTTGCCAACTCTCATGCTTTCTGTATCTCATGCACATGCAAGAAATCTAACTGCGAATCTATATTATTCCATTATAAACCTGATATTATCTACACCAACAGCGTTTGGGGCAGTTTGCAAACCCTACAAGAAAATAAAACTGTTACATACATGTAAATGTGTTTGCAGTAAATATACACTTATTACCCAGATAGCTTTAAACATTACCTTTGACTGCCTAAAACTTTTGCACAGTACTGTATTTTAAACATTTAATTGTTCAGTAGTACTTAATTAAAAGCAGTTCAATTAAAATATGAGGTGTTTAGAATTGTGCAGAATAAGATAAAGGTGGCGTGTTATTGAAGGCGATGGTTAGCCATCCTGATTCGAGCTCTGCTGGTGCTCCCCTTCTCCCAGGAGCTGCATGATGCAGGCAGATTCAGAGAAGCTTCGGCAGGCCTGGATCAAAGCCGTGCAGAACAGCATCGCCACAGCATACCGGGAGAAGGGGGACGATCTGGATGTGCGTGAGGAGGCAGGGGCGCTGCACCCATATTTAACCCCATTGCCCTTATGACCTCCCCGCTCACCTGACCTCTGAGGTGCTTTATCTGCACAGAAGCTGGACAGCAGGTCTTCAGCATCAACGGGCAGCCTGGACTCAAGCGGCGAGCCCCGGGAAAGGAACCTGAAGGGGGATGGCGCCCTGCAGAAGGTCCTCACCATTGCCGGCAACAGCCATTGCTGCGACTGTGGCACAGCTGAGCCGCGCTGGGCCAGCATCAACCTGGGCATCACACTGTGCATACAGTGCTCCGGCATCCACCGGTACGCTGGGCTTGGGGCAGGGAGGGGCAACTCAGGACTGTCCGGCGGGGTGGGGCAGCTGAGGACTGTCCGGTGGGGGCAAGGAGGCAACTCGGAACTGTTTGGGAGGGAACCAACTCAGGACTGTCCCGTGTCCATGGGGGGGTAGATCACATTTAACACATTTTATGCAGTCCAAAAATAGTACCCTATATCCTCATATGTGCCACAGTCAGAATATCACAAAACAACAATTATGTTATTTAAATTTTTTTGTGATGAGAAAAATTGTTTCAAAAATGTAAATGCAGCTTTGCAATGCAGAGGGTGCCATTCTGCCATTAAGCTATTGGATCATTGACTGGTGCTCAGTAAAGAATAAAAAAATAAAAACAGCTGAGGTGCTGTAATCACAGAATCATGATTGGCTAAAGCATTTCTTATCACCCAATAGCTAATTCACATTTTGCAGTATTGGTGAATATTGAATTTCCTTTTCCAGTAATAATGAATGTTAGGTGTGCTGCAGATGCTATCCAGGGACGGCTACACTGTAGTGTAGTGTCACCTGACCGATGGTCTGCTGCCACCATCCCCTGTCTGACACTCCACCCACCACCTCCCTCCTCCCCCCCGCCCCCATGTCTGCCAGGAGCCTGGGTGTCCATTTCTCCAAGGTGAGGTCCCTGACGCTGGACATGTGGGAGCCCGAGCTGCTGAAGGTGAGCAGGTGGGAGAGTAGGGGTGACACATGGGCCCCTGGTAATGTAGGGGTGACACATGGGACCATGGCAGCGTAGGGGTGACACATGGGACCCTGGCAGCGTAGGGGTGACTCATGGGACCCTGGCAGCGTAGGGGTGACTCAGGGGACCCTGGCAGCGTAGGGGTGACACATGGGACCCTGGCAGCGTAGGGGTGACACATGGGACCCTGGCAGCGTAGGGGTGACTCATGGGACCCTGGCAGCGTAGGGGTGACACATGGGCCCCTGGTAATGTAGGGGTGACACATGGGCCCCTGGCAGCGTAGGGGTAACACATGGGCCCCTTTGTAATGTAGGGGTGACACATGGGACCCTGGCAGCATAGGGGTGACAGATGGGCTCCCGGCAGGGGCAGTTTTGGCTGCACTCCACACTCGTGCTGCCCAGCTGGACATCGGGCCCTGTAAAGCAGTCGTCCTCTATAATGTACTCCAGCCCATGCAGCATAATGGCAGCACCCATTAACAAAACAAGCCTGTTTATTACAGGTTCTCTGTCAGTTATTATGATTGTTAACACTGTTATTGCTCTTACTGTATAGACATATATATACACACACACACATATATATGAGAAGTAATGGTTCGATTTGAATGTAATGTGGTATATGTGCAGACCAGCGATTGATAGGTAAATGATTCGATTTGCAGTGCTAGTCACCAGCCACAGAAGATGCCTCGTAGACTCCTTAGACAGCTTTACCAGCACTTGACAGAGTTTGATAGGGGTCGTATTGTGGGTTTGCATGAGACCAGGTGGTCGTATCATGCAGTTGCCTGGCATGTTGAGCATGCAGATGTCATAGTCACCTGATGTTGGAACCAGTGGGCACGTGAGAGCACCCACACATGTCGTGAAGGTTTCTGGTCGCCCAAGACAGACAGCCATGTGGGTTAAGGGAACTGATGTTTCTGAATTGCCCTGTGTATGTGTCTGTGTGTGTGGGTTCTGTATATATTGCATTGTGGGGACCAACACAGTTTTATAACTGCAATCAAAAAAACTAAAAATGTCAAAAGTCTTGTATTTTGTTTGGTTACTTATGGTTAGGGTTAGGGCTGGGTTGAAGATATGGTTGTCATTGTTAGCATAAGGGTTATGCCCATAGAAATTAATGGAGATTAGGGGTGTATCTGGAAAATGTGATATCCAAATTGCCAAAACATGGAGAAATAATCATAAAGTTGGTTGGACAGTTAACATAAATCTGTGTTTTTCTTTGACAAAAACCATAGGCATGGGCACGCTATACTGTATTCTGACACTGCATTACCTCAAACGGGGGAGTTCTGAAGCACCCTCAGCACATGGACACACTGTACAGTATTCTGACACTGCATTACCTCAAACGGGGGAGTGCTGAAGCACCCTCAGCACATGGGCACACTGTACAGTATTCTGACACTGCATTACCTCAAACGGGGGAGTGCTGAAGCACCCTCAGCACATGGGCACACTGTACAGTATTCTGACACTGCATTACCTCAAACGGGGGAGTGCTGAAGCACCCTCAGCACATGGGCACACTGTACAGTATTCTGACACTGCATTACCACGAACAATCAGGGGAGTGCTGAAGTACCCTCACCACCATACTTCCCGCGTTATTGATTTAAACCAGCAAGAAGTACAGATATAATACCAAATCAGAAGGTCTCTGCCAATTCCCACTATTAATGCTTATGCTGATTATGGCAGACTTCACAATCATGCTTCCCAGGTCTCCTGAAAATTTCTGAATTTTTGTTGTGCTGGCACAACATGAGAGCTGGTATTGAATACCACCTCTCATGTAGTATTGTTACAAATAGTTCTTTGCTTATTATGTTTCTGATGAAAACTAAGTCAATGCTAAAATCCAAACTGAAGCAGTACACTCATTATATATATTAGATATGTCCGTGTGTCTGTACATTTAGTTTTGCATATTGACTGAAACTCAGACTCAACCCCTCATGACCCATGACATCATGACTTGACTTGCACTTGGGATAGGGTGACTTGACTTCAGCCCTGAAGTGGATGAGCAGTTCTGGGAAAATGCCACTGTGCTATTGAGTCTTCTATGGCATTGCGCCCCCTAAAGGTGTATATCCATTGCAGCTGATGTGTGAGCTGGGGAATGATGTCATCAATAACATATACGAGGCCCGGCGGGAAGAGCTGGGGGCCCGCAAGCCCAAGAGCGGCGACTCCAGGTAACCTCAGGGGGGCTGCTGGCAGTGAGCACCGCCGCCTTTCTGTCTCCCTCTCGCGCTTCACTCCTCCCTTTTCGCCGTCGCTCTAAGGCCAGAGATCGAGGCCTACATCCGAGCAAAGTACGTGGACAAGAGGTTTGTCCTGAAACCATCGATCGCAGAGCAGAGGTCCAAGATCATGGCTCTGATCAGGCGGGACAAGAATCTGGGCAGCAGCTTGGAGCACCTGCCCCCCCGGCCACCCCCTCCCACGCCAATCCTGCGTCCGGCTTCCCACCTTTCAGGTGAGCCCCTTTAATTGTCACTAATTAAGGCCCTTCTCTGTGTGTCCCTCTCAGAAAGCCTCTCTCTGTGCCGGCTCCTTGTCCTCAATTAGCAGCCTTCTGAGACTATAGCCTACACCAGTGCTGTCTTTTCACCGTGTGCCTGTTGCAAACCCCCCCCCCCCCTTTAGCCCGCTTCTTGCGTCTTTACTAACCCTGCTTTCGCTCCGTGCCCTTTGACCTGCGACCCCTGCGTAGCTGCAGCCAACAGTGAAGAACCCAGCAAAAAGGCTCTCTTCTGTCCTGATGAGCTAGACTCTCTCTTCTCCTACTTTGACACATCCTCCAAGCTGCGCAGTAGTAAGTACTGGAGGGATGTGACCCTCCCCCCCCCCCTCCTTTCAGGACCCTAGTGTGGCTCGTATCAAACAGCCGTGAGGGTGCTGCGTCCTCCTGCTTCTTGCTTTCATTGCTCATCTCTCATCCTCCTGTGACCAAAACCCTGTTAGCTTGGCATGCCAGTAAAATGGCCGTCCATGTAACGTGAACAGCTAACTAGCCATGAGGAAAGGGGGCATTTCTGAAATGCAAGGTTTTGAGTGCACAGAGGGAGTGTGACGTGCCCTGTCCCCCTTCTGTGGAGATTTCCCGGTTTCCCGGGCTGGGAAGCCAGGGTATCGCTCTCATGCAGGCCTCAGCCTGTACTGCCATCTGATGGGCCCATCCTCTCTCCTGTGTCACAGTTAAGAGTGCAGACTGCGGCACCCAGCAGAGCAGGGAGAGGAACAGGGAGATGTGGGCCTGCACTGCGTCCACCACAAGTCTGCCTGATGCAGGTGCCGGTTCTGTTCTTCTCAGTGCCCTATTTTCTAAACATAATCGGGCATCATGAACCACATGGATGTCTGGCGAACACTGCTTGTGGAGTAAAGAGCTTCTGATTTGTCAATATTCTTTTTTCAATGGATCTAAAAAATCTACACACCCCTGTTAAACCTGCATGCTTTTATGATGTAAAAAATTTAATGAAGATAAATCATGTCACATATTTTTCCAACCTTCAATATAATACTGCAGCCTGCAGAATTCCAGTGAAAAACACTTTGGGGGGGGGGGGATAAAACACAAAATAACCCAGTTGTGTAAGTGTGCACATTCATTTATAATGGGGTAGGTGGCTCTGTCCAGAATTAACCAATCACATTCAAGCTCATAATCAAAAGTAATTATCATACACGTCACCAATGAGAGTGATCCTGATTAACCCCAAATAAGCATCAGTTGTTCCAGTACCATCCATTTAGTCGCATCCAACTGCTGAAGCCATGGTGCGTAAAGAGCTTGCAGAGCATTTATGGGATCACTGTGGAACAGTATCGGAGAGGGTTACAAAAGGATTATTGAGGCATTACCATGTACCAATACCATGGAACACCGTGAAGAGCATCATGAACAAGTGGAGAAAATGGGGCACCACAGTGACATCATCAAGGATAAGATGTCCCTCTGAAATTGATGGAATTACAATATGAAAACTTATCAGGGAGGCTGCTGAGAGGCCTAGAATAACATAGGAGCTGCAGGAATATCTGGCAGGTACTGGTCACTCCCTGTATGTGACACCCATCTCCCAAGCATCTCCCAGGCCCACGGTGAAGCATGCTGGAGGCAGCATCATGCTGTGCGGCAACTTCAGGATGGAATGGGGCTCTGGTCACAATTGAGGGAATCATGGGTAACTCCAGATACCTTTTCCATGTTTAATGTCTTTTGGAAGAAAGCCAGCAGGCATCTACCTGAAAGCTGATGATGAATTTCCCCTTCCACCAAGATAATGACCAAAAGCACACATCTGGGTAAACAAAGTGGTGCCTTCAGAAGAAGAATATCAGTGCATTGGAGTCAGAACCCAGACCTAAATCTTACTAAAATCCTGCGGGATGTGCAGGAGATGCCCTTGCAATTTGAGGGGTCTGGAGCTTTTTTGCAAAGATGATTGGAAGAAAATTGTCAAATCAAGATGTGCCAAGCTGATAGACTCTCTTACCCAAAAGACTGAGTGCTGTATTAGAACTAAAAGGTGTTTCAATAAAGTATCAGTTAAGGGGTGTGTTCACAGAAACAACCAAAATGTTTCTGTTTGCTTTTCACTTGAATTTTGTTAGTTGCAACATCACATTAAATGTGGAAAAACATCTGACATGATTTATGTTGGTTTCAGTTTTACAAAACAAAACAGCTGCAATTTTAACAGGGGTGCTAGACGTTTTATATGCATTTGATAATAAATACATTTTATTTATATTTGTATAGCAGTTTGTGTTGTACACTGAATGATTCCCAGCACTAGTCTATGTAATGCCTGTCCTCTGTAACTTAGTCATTGTCATTTAATCCTATTGCTTTGGTGAACAAAAAAATTATCTTCCAATAAGTCAGAACATAAATACTCAAGTTATGGTATAGTCATGGTAAGATCCGTATACAGTAAGTGTATAGTTAAGGTACAGAAAACTGATCTAGTAATCTTTAACTGCAGAGATGAAATTTGTGTGTGGTCCAGTTTAAAAATGTCTCTCGAGTGAATATTCACCTAGTGCACCTTGATGAAGGGGCAGTTGGTGCAGAGTGGAGCAGACCTCCTGGTCTGTGGTAGGTTGTCTTTCCCTCAGATACTGAAACGCAGCCGTTCTGCTGCTCCCTGTGTGTCTGCCAGAGCCTGCATGCCCAGTGCAGCCCGAGAGAGGGCCTGCCGTCCCCCAGGAACCCAAGGCATGCTCCCCCGGCCTGCAGCTTTACTGGGCCGCCTACGCCTGCAGCCTGCCGGACATGACTGAGGCTATAGCTCATGGCGCCGAGGTCAACTGGGTCAACGCAGAGGAGGACAGGAAGACGCCGTTAATCATGGCGGTGCAGGGGGTGAGTGTATGTGTGTGTGTGTGCGTGCGTGCATGTGTGTGTGTGCGTGCGTGCATGTGTGGGTGCGTGCATGTGTGTCTGTGTGTGCGTGCGTGCATATGCGCGCGTGTGAGTGCGCGTGTGAGTGTGTGTGTGTGCGTGCGTGCGTGCGTGTGAGTGCGTGTGTGTGTGCGTGCATGCTACATGTGCGTATGCGCGTGTGTGAGTGTGTGTGTGCGCGTGCATGCTACATGTGCGTATGCGCGTGTGTGAGTGCGTGTGTGTGTGTCCGCACGCAGGGCATAACGTCATCACAGCAGCAATAGGAATTGGAGCACCTGTTCTTGCGATTAGGAGTACATTTTATACAAGCCTTAAGAAGCTTTATAGATCTGTTACAGTTATGTTCAGGGCCTGTTAGTAACTCTCAGAGCATAAACAGATTCCCATCATGCATCAGCAGGGCTGAATTTGATTTCTGTGAGAGCGCTGTGCTCATGTGCCTTGTCCTACAGCTTATTTCCACGGTCTTGAAATCTGTGAGAGGACGTAAAGCATATTTTGACAGTTTGGCCACCAATCGACTCCAGCATCCCAGTTACTGTTTAACCTTCTGCCTGCCTGGAAAGACTGTTCCGGGCTCTGGCTGAGCCAGAATTTAGCAGCTGAGCTGATCTGTCGGGATAGCTGGCCTTACACAGTGCTGAGTACAGCTGCTGGATCATAAATAGTAAGATCCTCTGAGATGCTCTGAATCAAAGTGGCCTTTAGCTGTGTCAGTCCGTTCATAAACTCTGCATCATGGTGAGCTGTACGTGTTTATACATGTGCTCACGCACTGCGTGTATGTACCATGATTCCTCTCTCACTTCACCAGGGCTCCATGGTCACCTGTGAGTTCCTGCTCCAGAACTCAGCCAATGTGAACCAGCCGGACGCCTACAGCAGAGGGCCCCTGCACCACGCCACCATTCTGGGCCACACCGGGTGAGCAGCCGGGTTCACACCGCAGTGCTCACTGTCATGAACTTCTCTGCTCATCCAGGGGAATTTATGCTGATGCAGTTGAAGCTAAGTGTCTTGCTTAAGGGTAGCATTAGCCCCTCACCAGGAAGTAACATAAATAGTCATATTCAAAAGTGTACCCAAAATGCCTCTTTGTCATAAACCCTTGTGTGGACAAGGCAGAAGTGTGTCATGGATCGATGTTTATGTCCCTCATCTGATCATCGCCATGTGACATACTTTTTTTAGCCTCATAGTCATAAAGGTAGAAAGACCTGCCTCGGCTGATCACCATGGCAACACTGTAATCAGTTTAACTGTGTCTGGACCAGGCAGGTGTGCTTGTTCCTGAAAAGGGGAGCCAGTCAGAACGCGCTGGATGTTGATAACAGGAGTCCCCTATCCATCGCCGTGGACACAGCCAATGCCGACATAGTGACACTGTAAGTGGACTAAGGTGGTCTAACTTTATTTAGCACGGTGCTTAAGATGTATATCGGTTCTTTATCACAGTTTTTTAGAGTGTCACGATCTCATATAATAATTAGAACAAGGTTATGTCATAAATTAAGAAAAAAATTTAAAACATAATTGAATCATTAATTATCAAAACACCCAGGTCACCCTCTCAGATCCCCCTAAAGAAATTCACAGCTGCTCCTATATCAAACTTATGGAGAAATCTTAAATGTATCAAAACATGGGGCTATACCCAAAAAATACATAATATACAGCTGATCTGATTACATTTTTGAATTCTTAAAGTTAGCCCTAGTCACAAAGTTTCAAAGCTGTAGATGCCCTATCGAAGGAGCTATGAATGTCTGAAACTGGACCAAAAGATTTGTTTGGCAAAATACGTAAAATTAATTAAAATTTCACAGGGCTATAGTTTCAGGACTACTAGAGATACAGACCTGATATTTGGGAATCTGAGAGGGTGACCTGGGACCCTCTTGGTGATGTGATATGGAATAACCCAATTACATCTATAGAAAACCTGAAGTGTATTTTTGTCATGAAGTACCAGGCACATGCAGAATATTAGTCCTGTATCTCTGACAAGCCTCACACATTGATCTTACATATAGTCAAGGCCAAAAATATTGGCACCCCTGCATTTATCTCAGAAAATGCACCACTTCTCCCAGAAAATTGTTGCAATTACAAATACTTTGCTATTGTCATGTTTATTTCTTTTGCTGCCACTGGAGGAACACAAAAAAGGAGAGAAAAAAAATTATTTTTATTCCTCTGCTTTTTTTTGTGTTCTTCCAGTGCCAACACGATAAATAAATATGACAATAGCAAAGCATTTGTAATTGCAACAATTTTCTGGGAGAAGTGGTGCGTTTTCTGACATAAATGCAGGGGTGACAATATTTCTGGCCATGACTGTAATATGTAGTCATGCGCTACATGTAAATACATCATTTGCCCAGGTTTGTTCCACCATGACATGATAGAGCACAGCTTTTGCACATCAAATACTGAATGAGGACTTTTCCTGTGTGCTTTCAGTGATTTTTAAGTTGTTGTTTAAGTTGGCGTCACCTGGGACTCCATTCTCCCCCCAACAGGCTCCGTCTGGCCAAGATGAATGAGGAGATGCGGGAGGCAGAGGGTCCCTATGGACAGTCAGGTCAATATAACAGTAACAGCCCCACGGAAGTGCAGTACAGGAAGTGCATGCAGGAGTTCATTAGCCTGCAGCTGGAGGACTCCTAGACCAGACAGGGATGTGGCAGCTGGCCGGCAGCCTTCGCTCCGGCCCGAAGGCCACATGCCGGCTCTCAGTCTGTGTGTGCAGTAGCTGCACTGTCAACAAGTCGAGCAGGAACGTGTCCCTCATCCACACCTCATACTAATGGGTCAGGTCTCTCAGGTTAGCTGGCCACAGCCAGTAAGAATCACCAGACACAAGAACAAATGATTATTCCCTCCTTCATGTTTCTGGGCATGAAAATGCAGTTGCATTGCATTGTGGGAATGAACAGTAATCCAGATCTCAGACACATTTCTTCTGTGGTTCTTGTATGCAACATTGTAATATCACTAGTCTACTGTAAGTTATTTTGACTCGTCTTAACTTTTTAAATAATTATAGTTTTACTGTTTAAATTCTGTTCCTTTTAAATACAAATATCACATTTTTGAAGAAGGCCTTAAAAGCTAATTTACTTTTTTATAATATTGCAAACATCAGTCATACATTCATTCTTTCTGAAGAAATATATGCCATATATATATGAGTCTGAATCTTGTCATTCAGAGTAAATGATTAGTAATTTATATAGTTTATGAAGATTAGTATTGTATACTGGTTTATTAATGGTTATTCCTTTAATTCCTGTCCTTTATTTTTGATATGAAGTATATTATAACTTTTTGTTTCAAAATGCAAAGATATACAAATTGTGACATCAGACATTGTCATCACTGAAGGGGGATGTGTGTGTTTGAATGTTTGTATGCGTGCATATGTGCATGTGCTGAGCAGCATCCCATCCAGCGAGCACCCCTACCTTACACCCTATGACTCCTGGGATAGGCTCGAGACCCTCACTAGTATACATGGCTAGTGATGGATGACATTGACACGTTACATTATATCTCTACTGGCCAGTCCAGATTGCTTGTATTATTGATTATATCTGCTAGTGTGAGTACTGCCACTTCAAATACAGAACAGTGGGAGAACAGAACAATAGCATGTAATACTAACAATAACCACAAGGTGGCAGGTATGCGATTTGAATGAAGGTACACAGCAAGCGCAAAGGTACCGGTGAAATAGACCAGTGCAGCAGGACAGATCCCAAGTCCGGGCTTCTTATTGATGTACCAATGGTGTACAATATAGCAGCCTTTTCTTTGACTTTTATCACAGTGTTCATTGTTTGGAGCTGTTTAAGTGTACGGCTTTTCTGAATGGTTACTTTTTATTCTGTCATTAATGAATGGATATGTATAGAGAGAGATGCTTATGTCATATGTGTATATAGCATACATAGCATAAATATGCAGTGTTATAAAGAAAAATGGTGAGATTCTTATTTTAGGTATGTAATATGTTGCACTTCGCTGAGCCATAGAAAAAAAGAGGTGTTACACTTCTGCCATGTTTAGAACTCTTGAATGTTGTTCTGAATTACCAAAATGCAAATACATAGAGGCAAATAAATATATTTTAAATAGATATTGACAAATGAATGCTTTGAGGATGTCAGGTGACGAGTAGGAGTTCCTTAGGAGACGAGGCCGCTCCTGAAGTTAAGCAGGCAGTGTTAGTAGCGGTGCGTACATGTCGTTCTGTAGTGACATAAAGTGACTGGCACCAACACAGTCTGGCTCGTACTTAGCAAGTGCAGGCAGTACCGTGTAGCCGAACCATTATTGATAGCTTGGTAGCAGTCAGGGCTAAGCAGTTAATGTTCTTTAGAAAGAGTAGCAGTACATAGACATTATATACTCATCTGGTCTCTGTGTGTGTATCTAATTCATGTTAAAATAGCAGCCTTTAACAGAAGTGTGAACATGTATGACATCCATATACAGCAACATGTTTGTTACACCTCTCATTCTACACCTCTCGAGCGCCGTACCTTGTTTACGGTTGACTTATTGATTCCACTTTCTGTTGCTAAACACCCATCTCCATTTCAACTCTGTTTTTCGATCTGTTATTTGGGATTTTGTGCCTTTTCTGTCCTGTGGTTCTTCTGAATGCTTAGGCCACTGCACCTGTATTTTTGTACGTCGAACATGCACTTTAAATACAACTTGATTGATAACAGAAGTGACCTTTTTGTGAGTCGTTCTTTCCCTCTTCTCTCTCTTACTGTGTACTAAGCCATGCCACTGATTAAACTCGTACAGATACCGTCATGTTCTCACAGCACTCTTTTTTTGAATAACGGGGGTCTCTCTCAGTTGTCCTGCATCTTCCTCAGCATTTGGTGCATGAACACCGCTGCACTCTTTTGCTCAGGCTTCACACTGGCTGCCAGGTTTATCTTTTGCACAGTTTAACTCTGCTTTTCTTTCCTGAGCTGCTTTCACCTGCTCAAAGGTACAGTCGGATTTTTCTGTCACTTTTAATGCATTAAATGCATGTTTGTGTCCATCTGCCTGCCTGGGTTTGATTATTATTATAATGCCTGTGTTTAGTTCTCTGTGTGCATGCCATGACATCATGTTTCAACATAGATCCTTCCGCTGATGTCCCTCTCATTCCTTTTTGCAGGGGATGAAACCTATCAGGATATCTTCCGAGACTTTTCACACATAGCGTCCAATGATCCTGGCCGACTGAACCGCTTCCAGTCACATGATTCCTAGAGGCTCTGAGTGGGGCCCGGAGATGCCCAGGGCCCCCCCGGGGGAAGACGGAGTGATAGCCTGAGGGAACGTGTCTTGCTTTCCACAGCTATTAATGTCATGTGACAGAAAGCCTGCTTTTCAGCACAAGGCCGAGGACCATCCAGTTTATACGGACAGTGAACTGATACTGACTCATTGCAGAAAGGCGAACTTCTAATCAGGATTTCAGTTATATTCTACCAGTTTAAGAAGAAAACTCTTATTCTGTCATTTTGCAGCACAATTATCTGCTTTTGTATTATCTAAACATTTACGGTCTCGTCAAAGTCTGTTACAGTGAGCTATTAACTAGGAATCAGTTTTTATTTTCTTATCATTATGATCTATAACATTTACATAACTGGAAGAGTAATTTTTTTTTCAGACTGGTTATTTAGAGGACTGCAGGTACACGTCATAAAATCCTTGAACACATTTTCCAAGCGTAGTTGTATCCATGGCGTCTGTGTACGAACGCAAAGTGTGGAGCCACCTACACCTTTGAATCATACTTTCAGGTTCAAATAAGCCATGCAGTGCTTTCCAGGGCATGGGCGTATTCCAGTATTTTGCTTTTTTATGTGGATTAGAGCAGGGTTTCTCAACCCGGTCCTCGGGGACCACCAGACGGTCCATGTTTTTGCTCTCTCCCAATTCCCTGCCAATTGGGAGAGAGCAAAAACGTGGACCGTNTCAACCCGGTCCTCGGGGACCACCAGACGGTCCATGTTTTTGCTCTCTCCCAATTCCCTGCCAATTGGGAGAGAGCAAAAACGTGGACCGTCTGGTGGTCCCCGAGGACTGGGTTGAGAAACCTTGGATTAGAGTACTCCGTTGTTTCCATAACTCAAATTAATGGGATTATCTCGATATTTTTCATTTTTTGAAAGAAAGGTACAATATTTTATGTGAAAAGGCTCAGTTCCTGAACTGGTCAGCAGGGGCCTAAGATCAGCGCTTTTGAATTGCATGTGTCAGTAATATTTTGTGTACATATTAATGAGATGTTACTGCCAATCTTCTCTTTAGACATTCCTGATTTTTTTCAGGTCTTATGAAGACACACAATCCATCTTGTGTTTTTTATAGTTAAAATGCATGTACTTTTAAGTAATCACAGTCTTTTTTTTTAAGTATACAGTCCTGAAATGGTAGTACATGATATTTTAATAATTGGTGGTCTGTATATTAATCATTATTAGAGGCATGTGGTCTCGACACTTTGTACCTGTAGCAGGGCAGAGCTGTGGAGGCAGTTTTGAGAGCTTCCAGATCATTTGGAGCCAGAGGCTCACAGCCCAGTTTCTGTGCTGTAAGAAACACACAATGCAGCTCTGGTGAATTCACATGCAGGTTCCCGCCTTCACAGGAACAAGGAACCAAAGCGTGTATGCAAGATGGCCACCCTGAGGTGGGCTAAATGACCAGTGAACCAAAGAATGTTTGCAAAATGGCCGTGCTGAGGGCAGGCGCAGAGCCCAAATGCTTAGTTTACCTGTGTCTTGTTCCCAATCATCACGTATAGTTTTGTTTTCTCTTGCTTCCTGGGGCATGAGCCCAAACCCTACTGTCTGACATAGTCCTCGCTTGAAGCCGATTGACAACTTGACGCCTATTTTCCAGCATGTCCATTTTCCTGTGTCATTTAATGTGCACCTAAAACAACATTTATTCATTATATTAACACACTGATATGGGTAAGCTAATAATGCTAGCTAAAGTGATCTAGGTCCCTTGCAACCTATGTTTGTAATAAGATACAGATATATATGTGTCAAATTGTAATCCACAGTTGACTTTTAGTGATGTGTAGCAATCCTGGTAAGAGTTGAATAAGGTACCATGTTGGAGTTTTGTTGGAAATCACTTTGTCGATCATGGTTTATTCACTAAGCAATTTGTCCCACCGCTGATCTCGGGTACAAGTCAGGCCTTCATTTTCCTCAAAAAGAGCAGCTGGCTCCTGCAGTGAAGAGTTTGTGACTGACCTAGATCAGTCCCATTCATGTGTTTCCATCGGTGGTTCTGAGTAGTAGTCTTCCAATGCACATGTTCTCTTTAATGTAAATTGTGTAAATAATGTTTATCTTACTCCATGGTGAAGAAAACATTCTTTAAATAAATGCTAGAGGTATTGGAGTCATTAAAACTGTTTTTGAAAGTTCTTATTGGTATCGTACTGGTATCTTTTTCCATCCCTTTCCAAGTATGTATCATCTATTTATCATATGTGACTGTCATTTATCCAGTGTCACTCCTTAAAAGTGATTTGTCTAATTTATCAGGACAAATACTCCAGCAGTAAATACTCTGAACCTTTTCTTGTGCAACAAAAGATCTTGACAATGTACTAGTCAATTAAACAGTTCAGTGGCTGTAAATTTAAATACAAGTATTTTGTTTTCTTTCAGACATTGAATCTATTGCTCTCGGAACAAAGCTGAAGATGTTTGCTATTCTAGTAACTTTAAGCATGCTCCCTTTGCGGACAGGCTGCAGCAGGCAGAAATGCATTGCATCATCGTTTTCAAGTTCAAGGCTATGCACTGTATAAACAGCTCAGCACACCGACCCTTTATCTAATTTACTGACATTAGGATGACAGCTCTTGTGGCCCAGGGCATTGTGGGTACTCTGGCGTCACATAACGATTCTAAGTGCTTATTGCTAGCTGTACAGACTTAAAAACCACAAAGGGGCTCGTACTCAAATGTTGTGGGGAAAAATACCATGGAGGTGATTGCTGTTTTAACACCAAGTTCCAGAGCCAATGCAAAGGAACTATCGTTAATTGTTGATGCCTTTTACAGTTGTTGATGTGACATTTAAAAACAAATTCACATGCTGTGAAAGTTGGTAACTGGGCAGTTTCACATAACGAATGAGAAAAAATGCAGTGAACAGGAGGCCAGTCACACCACCACTTGCTTGCTGGACAGTTGTGGCCACATTTCATATAAGTTTGTGGTAAGCACCATGCTGAGGGAAGAACCACCACTGCAGAAGTGTTTGTGCCCCCCCCCCCCCACACACACACACAAGGCAGCCAAATCCCATTAGTACCACTTGTCCATAGAAGTAGCATCAGACTGCTGCCGCAATGCCGGCCTTGCCGGAGGCCAATGCACACAGCTGCAGCTGCACCCCACGGACGTGTCCAGCACACTGTCTCCTTCCCTGCTGCTGTAAACCATGATGTTTCCATGGAATTCAAGACACTTTTCATCTACTTTCAAAACAGTCAACACATCACAATCTCAATATTTAGGGAGTTAAGTGTTTTTCTTTGTAACCTCAAGGACAAAAGTCACCTTCCAGGCAAAACGAAACAATAAATGTCCGACTGGCCTTCTGCTCTGCAGAGTATCCTATAGTGTTCAGGGCTGCCAGCAAAAGCTGCTCTCTTTCCCGTCTTCCCTGTCATATGAGTCCTATTGATTGGACCTTCAAACTGAACAGACAGCAAATGAAAGTCTAACCGGTCATGTGAAATGAGATGGAGAAATTAACTATTTTTGCCTGTAGTCAATACGGCAAAATGCAATCAACACGAAGTATTCAATGAAATAAGAGTTGTCCTGAGCAGTAAATCTTAAAGCACATCATTCTGTTGTTATGTGTGATGTGTTTATACTTGAAGTATTTACAAAAAATACATCTAAAACATTATGGGAAAACCTACTCTCCAACAAGTGAAATCAAATGTTTAACTGGTACCATAATCACATAAGATACTCTGCCTTGCCTTTTGTTAACCAGCACCATTCCGGCTGGCTGATCTGTGATCATCATCCTCTCCCTCCCTATTAAGCAGGTCTACACCATCCCATAATGCATTAAGCTCTTAGTCCATGTGGCCAAAAAGTTAACGTGGCAGGATGGTATGCGTTTGTGTCCTTCCTCCCTTCACACCAGGAATCATTTTTATTCCCAGAATGAGCTGGCCTCTTCGTGGGACACTTTATTCCAGCCTTGGGTACGGAATCAGCTGCTGTGCTTTTTTAAGAAAAATATGGAAAAATGAGTCGCTGAGCCCACACTCCTCGAGTACAGCTGTGAGCAGAGCGCCCCAGCAGGCAGAGGAGCACAGAAGGGTCAAACTGTCCTTTCAAATGGATGCACCATTTCAGCTATATGTGCATATCATAGCTCATTACTTGGGTGTGGAGCAAGGTTCCTAATAACTACCCCACTAGCCCCCCATCAGAACCAGGCTTGATCATCCATTGGCCTATAGAATATGGGTCTGGGTTAGGTCACCACAAGCTGTACATCAGAACCAGGCTTGAACATCCCATGGAGTATGGATGTGCTTGGGGTGCTTTGAGGTCCCCAAAAGCCAGAGTGTCCACAGGCTAGCACATCTTTCCATTTATTTAGAGTTTGTTTACATATCTAAAAAATAATAACAGCATTCCAAGACTAATATTCCACAAAATGATGATCAAGTAAGATCAGGTCTGGACCAGGATCCAAGTACCAGGTAAATTATGGTTTTGGCCCATTTGCCCCACTAAGTCCACACTTCCACAATACTTCATTTGGCATGTGCGTTCACTCATTTACATAGTACCTCATTTGGCATGTGCGTTCACTCATTTACATAGTACCTCATTTGGCATGTGCGTTCACACACTTACACAGTACCTCATTTGGCATGTGCGTTCACACACTTACACAGTACCTCATTTGGCATGTGTGTTCACACACCTGCACAGTACCTCCTTTGGCATTTGCGTTCACACGCTTACTGCAAGTATTCAAAGGTGTCCCATCCCTCAGATAAGCTGAGTGCAGCGCGCTTGACGTGCACTTTATCCACACTTTGGCAGATAATGCATAGTAGAGGTATGATGCACCGCATCAGTGATGACTAATATTTACATCGAACACGAGGAAGTCTGCCGACTAATGAGAGTCCGACGTGCCTCTGAAGAAGATTCAATTTAAGTGCACAAGGTTGTATAACCAATGTTAACATAGCCTA